CCACGTACTTAGAAATTCGAATCTCTAAAAGAAAGAAAATGGCTAAATCTTTTCTGTGTACGCAAATTGCCAAATGAGTGGAAAAAGTGAAAATCGGTTGAAGAGAATACGGAGGATAATGGACTTTTTATAATTTCAATAGAGTTATGTTTTGTCTAAAATGAACAGCTTAAAACCGCGGCAACTTTCAGGATGAACTAAACTAAAGTAAGGTAATAACACAGAATATTTACAATATCGCAAGCATGCTACCTAGCACAGAGTGCTCGATAATTTATCGAATAAGTAACTAATCGCTAAAATTAACTTTAGTTATTTACTCTTCGCTATAACAGTCTACATACTTCGAAATACACATACTTCAAGCACTTCCTAACTATCTGGAAACCCCTTTTACATCTCTCGTTGCAAAAACAAGCTATTAATCAATTTACTTACTTTTCATCAAATTTACCATTTTTGCCACATACAACACAAATGGTAACAGAATAACTGAATCTACAAGAACGTTACAAAGAATCCGCGCCAATATCATCTACCGTTGTACAAAAGCGTGCAACTATAGAGGAGGCGATTTTTCCCTTATTGAAATGATGAACGGTCAAAAGGATCTCTACTGGCCCTTGTATTAACCTCGTTAAAAGCGGAAACACGCCGGAGTTGAATCGGTTCTGTTGTCCAGCGTCGGTGTCCCAAAGCAAATAGATCGGCGAACGGACGTGAGGGCAATACCGTTAGTGTGTCCTGGGTATACACCGGCATTCAGCGCGTATTACGCGTCATATGATCGGTAATGCAATTATTTATGCGTTAGCGTCGCAGAGGAAGGGAGGGCGAGCCTCATATCAGTTTATCGATTTTACGCCGCCACGTACTCGCGATCGTCGAATCGATCCTAGTCGCATCAACGGTTACCAATTGTGAGGGACGGGACACGTTCGTTGGTGCTAGCTTTTTGTTCCCGCTCGCGTTTTCAAGGGAATTCCTAATTTTTCGCATTTTTATTCCAACATGCCCGTTGCCCCGCGCTGCTGAAGAATGTAAACGAAGATTTTGGTGGAATTAGCGGGAAATATGAGGGACAGGTAGCTTTGGAGAAAGTAGGAAACGTGAAGGTTTATGGTGGTTGCGTAGTTTCCAGTTCGCTCTTATTTCTCGGTTACTTACCTTGAAGGTGTGAGAAATTGCTTTTAGTATGAATTAGTAATGAACATTGTGAATGGACATGTTTATTGAGACAGCGAAGTTTAGTTCAGATTTAGAGTTTTGAGTGAGATTTATGTGTGCTAAGATTTTTTAAAAAAGTTTGTTGGTCGAAATATGACTACTTAGCAATCCATAAATTGTAATTAAAATGTCAAGTTATTTTTGTATTCCCATTGAGAGTGTATAGCTGCAAAGTCAATTGATAAATTCCAGCCGCGTGTTGTTTCATGGAAAATACACAAAAGGCTAAAGTAGAACGAACGATTCGACAGAAAATATAGAACATTTGCGTGCGTATACCTAGCTGCGATTCGAACAACAAGGTTCTTTCATCACCAAGACGTTTAGTGGATACTGAGTGGCCGTCTTAGTCCTCAAAGGAGCCGTTTTTATTTTAAGTGTGTTAAGGTTGTTTTTCTTTAACAATGTTGATAATTATTATCACATTATAAAATTTAACATGTTTACAGTTTTAGAAATTTTCAGAAAAATTGTCTTTGGAAAACTGATTGCTCACTCTAGTTTATGCTTTACCAAATTTACACACAAACTTAACAACGAACTAACTATGAATTAAGCCTAAATTCTTCCTGCTAGCCTGAGTCTCTATTCGATTAGCCTGAGTGCTAATTTCACTAACTAGTGCCTAGCCTGAGTGTTGATTTCACTAACTAGAGCCTAGCCTGAGTGCTGGGTGTTTTGAACTGTTTTAATACTTGTTTCTGACTGTCTGTTTCGTAACTTTCTTTTACTCTGGCCACTGACAGCCGTCTCACTTCTCGTTTCTTTCTACGCACACTGATTGGTCCTTCCTAAGAATACCTAATCGCCAATCAGCGTGTCCAAGGGACATTGTGAGCATCATTCTCCTGCGCCTTCACTTCAGAAGAGGTGACAATGTCCAACAATGAAGTGACAACGAAGATAACAGATGTTTTGACAACAATACCGAATTTCATCCAAGTTCTGTCCAACTTCCGAACGACCCTTCGAAAATTTCCACTGTGTAACAAGTCTTCGGGCTATTTGCTATCAATTCTAAGCTTCCAAACTTCAATTTCTCTCACTGGAACAGACTTTCCAACAATAAGTTAAAAATACTGAGCTGAAAAATAGCCTTTCGCCACGTCCACGTCGCGAAGCGTTGCCTTAACAACGTTCCTCGAGCTAGGAAATTTAACGCGTCACGGTTTGCCTGTCGAAGAAAGTCTGAAATGTCCTTAGTATCGCATCGATCGCGGGCGATTACGGAGAAACGGCGGGACGATCGAGTAGGTCGGTGAGCGCTAGGGGAAATTAACCGAAGTGCCGTTACTGGGAACATTAGCGAGGGGTCTGCATGGTATGGCGACCTAATTCATGCGCGGTATAGCTCCTTGCACATCCGCAGCCCTTAAATCGTTGGTGTGCACGCCGCCGCGATGCATTCCCCGCGCGACTATCTCCGATACAAGATAACGGATAGTCGGCCAGAAATAGATAGCCCCGGTGCCTCTTCTAAGATCCCACGCGGCAAATGAAATGCGATTATGTCCCCGCTTCCTTCGCCGAAATGAATGGCCTTGGGGCCGCCAGTGTCGATCTCGATTCGCACGGGACACCGCACCAGGCGTGATTTAACACGATCATCGATTGCCTTCGATTTATCATGAAAACGCTGACCACTGTATCGTGTTTCAGTGCGGTAAGAAAGGGATTAAGGCATATGTGGGCAACTCGCGGCCCGCGATACGGCTCCGCGAAGTCTTTAAATTTGGTCCTCTAGGTACTGATTAGTATCGTGTTTCATTTTATAATTTTATTTAATATTTAGCCAAAGTTGTATCGAACACATAATCACATACAACGTCACATTGGAGGTATTAATATATTGATGCATGAAAACACACGCGAAAATTTAGTTTGGCCCTTAACTCGGAGAGAGAACGATAATTTGGCCTTAAAACCAAGAAAGGTTGCCCATGCCTGGGTTAAGGAGTCAGGTTCGCAACATGGATGTCCAGCTACGCTATTCTTTAACCGTCAGCCGACTAAGCTGGGTCATCTGTGACCCATTTTACTCGCGTTTGTTGAAGGTTCGTGGGATATACAGGGTG